TATTTTCGTGACCTGCCAGCACCCATTGCCTTCGCCGTCCCGGTCGCCACGTTTTCGTCCTGCGATGGCAACAGCGCCTCCCCTTCACTAAGTGAAACTTCTCGCACGCGTCCCGTGCTGCTTTTTCATTAGACGGCGACTAAAATGCCCTTTAATTCCGGCCCTTGCGCGTGATCGTAAAGTGACGTAACACGACCTCCGCCGCCCCGCAGCGGAAAGCTGGACTAAGCCTCAATTTCAACGGCAGAGCACCACGCATGGCACTGCTGTTCAACATCGTCATCAGATGAGTGGACTTGTCACGCGCAGTTTCGCCTTGCTCGCCACTAAACTACTTTCAAACTCTTACCTCGACTTGAAACGTGCAATATTTCTTTGAACAAGGATTACTTTGTTGATATTATGACCCAAACATGTTCTCGCTTCTAAAATACCATTCTACAAGAAAAGGTCTTGAACCTACGCAAGCTGATTTGCAATGATGCAATAAGAATTACGTAGAAAGGCGATAAAGTAGTAAAGGAATGAGAAGGAACTATATGAGCGACTATTACCCGGTCGAAAATAAGGGAAGCCAAAAAGTGAGAAGTAGAACAGTTATAAAAAATCGTAAATGTAAAGTAGTGTAATTGAAGATAAGCGAAATTATTTTAATGTTCATTAATGTAACTTTAAAGAAGTATAAAAACCACGATGATGAAAACAATTAATGTGTAATTGATAATAAAGAAAAGGAATTATATGAAAATTTAATTTATAGAATTAATTAAAAGAATTCACGGAAGTGTATAAAGATATGCTAAAACTGGAAATAAATATTACGAAATAGTATTATTGAATAGAATGGATGGATAGAATGGATGGAATGAGGGAACTGGAAAGGAAGTGTACCGGAACAGTAAACTGTGTTACGGAGGGAAACACAAAAACGTCTGAAGTAGTGAAGTCAATCACCGAGCATTTCAAGGCTCTCTTGTTCCTGGCATCTCTCTTCAAGCCACAGATGGCAAACGCCGCCTCAGGTTTTACCGCAGTGGAGAACAGCGAGGTATTGAAGGTAATTAAAAGCAATCAATCGCTTTCCTGAGCCAGAAAATTGAGGAAAAAGAGGAGAGAGAGAGAGAATAAGAAAAAAACTGAAAGGCTGCAGCAAAAACTCGCATAGTAGCTTTCAAAAACTTTCTCGTAAAAGAACTAAATTTAAAAAAAAATATTTTATCTGCCTTTGTAACAATTTCCGAACTGTCTACCCTCTTTCCCTCCTTTGTAAGTTTCTCAGACACACAAAAATTCTTTAGTACTTCACTCTCTTGGAATAATACAACGGAGAGAAGTAAGCGTAGGAGTCAACGGACAACGCTGCTTTTAAGAAGATAGTTGTGACGAAAATTGCAATGAAGGCGAGGAATAAAAAATTGAGGAACTCTAAACGTTATAACTATCAAGAAGTTTAAATGTTGACGAAAGTGAAACATGCATAAAAAGATGACGATAAGAGCTCAAAAAACAACAAATTTTCAAAGAAAAATGCTGCATAATTTCACAAGATACATGCACAAGATAAATGCTGCATAATTGCGTGGAGCAAATATCATGGAAAATCAATATCATGGATCATTTTGAACTAATGATGCCTAATTTAGGCAACATTTTTAAATGCTGCAAGAACTTAAAATGCCGAGTACTAAGTAGAAAAGCACAGGATTGTGTTGTAGCGTAGGTGAGGGCAGAGACGTGTACAGGTAAGTCGTTTAGAGCAGGAGGGGGAAATGATAAGAAGGAAGGTGGGGAAGGAGGAAGGAAGGAAGGAGTTCGTTTGTCAGTATGTAGCTCACCGTGTGGAGGTGGTGGCCCGCGGGTCCCAGGCGGCCCGCAGCCCTCCACCCGGAATCCGAAAGCATGCGGACATCCCGCGGGTAATATTCTCTTCATGACAAATTCAACGCGCGCACAGTTCCAATATTTCATTATTTTCCAGGGTGGAAGCGATGGTGGTGGTGGTTGTGGTGGTGGTGTTGGTGGTGCCGGCAACGAAACGGTACGGGTTGCCGGCAACGAAACGGTACGGGTTGCCGGCAACGAAACGGTACGTCGGCGCCGGAACGGACTAGTCGATGGAATGGGTTATATGCGACGGATGGGGTGTAGGCGACGGAACGGAATTCACATTAGATAAGGCCGAAAAGTTAGAGGTACTGAAGATCAGAACGTTATAAAAATAATTACGTACAGGACATGGTGGGAATGGTTTTCGCAAGAATATGCTTGACAAGAGGAGTGTGAAATCAACAAATATCGTTGAATGCGTTATAACGAAGGTTGCGAATTGGGCGTTAGCACTGAAGAGCAATGAAATTGAATCTAAAAAGGGACCATGTTTTAAAAGAGACGACAGATAGATCGATTTAAATTGCTGAACAAATGAGAGATTAGGTAAATAAATAGAAAGTTAATTAATAAAAGTAAGATAATGTGAAAAGGGAAGTGGGAAGAGATCATTACTAAGAAGAAGGAATACCCTCAGTATTTTGTAAGAACTATGATATTATTTTGGAACGTAGCATATTACTTTAAACATATTAACTGGCAATACATTGAAAACTTTGTAAAGAAAGGAACATACACAAATGAAAATAAGTCGTTAATGATGATAAACGCGAAGAGAGGAACTTCCTTGTCGAAGTGTGCGTTTTATGATGGGGAAGTGACGAAACTATAAGGGTAGAGATTATCATTGGGGTAAGGAGGATACGTGACGCAATATCAGAGAAAACGAGGGAGGGCAGAGACGAGGCGGCGGCACAGGCACCCTTTGAGAGAGTGGGAAACGTGAGAGTATGTACTTGATTTGGGACCGGAAAACGCCGCAAAGCCCGGGTGTCTAGGCGAATACATGGGGAGGGTGCTGGAGGGCAAGGGTAGCTGCAGGGGGAGAGGCGGTTAGAGGGGGAGGAGGTGCTCGAAGTGGGAGGGTCCGCTGGAAGGTGTAAAGATGCTGGTGAGAAAAGGACGGCTTCAAGGGGGGCGGCTGGAAGGTGTGGGTGTGCGTGAGGGAGAGGGGTGACTGGTGCCCAACGAGTGGCCGGAGGGAGATGGGTTGCGGGAGTGGGTTGTGCGACTAAAATTGGACGTGTGCCTGGAGTGTTACGGGTGACCTGTGAATGGCTGGAGAACGCTTGAGTTAGGAGAAGCAGCAGAACTGGAGGGAGACCGGAGTGGGAGGTGGGAATGGGCGGCCTGAGAGCGGTGATAGATTATCGGTTCTTGGGGACGTTTGAACCACGGAGGCGGTAATGAAAAGAGGAGGCGGATGCGATGGCGAGTGCCAAAGATGTCTTGTACGGGGGTGGGGGTGGGGGTGGAATGGGGTTGGAGCCACGACACAAGAAATGCAAGGGCCTGACGACACTAAGCAGCTTCAGCCACGCCGATCCGCTGCGTAATTGGCACTTGACCTACATCATGCGCCTTTTCCTCTTTTCTGCAGATTAAATTCCCCCGCTCTCCCCGACGCTGGTCTAACACGGGCCAATGAACTGTAAAGTGGCTGCGGAACGACGTTCTCTATATCCTGTTTCACTCAACATCCCAGGCCGGATGGTAATTCGCGTCGTGCGAGAATCAAAAATTAATTTTTCTTTTAAATCGTGCCTGGAAAGGAAATAAATAAACGTTTTTGTAGAACGTGTAAAACATAAAATGACACAATGTGGGTTTTATTATCTAACTCATCCATTGATGGGCATTAAAAAAGCAAAATAAAACTGCATCTGAGCTGAATGTTTAGTTGCTATTCATTCTTGAAGAGACGTAACTGTTACATTTAGTATTGTTACAAGAGGAAGAATCACTGAAAAACTTCCGACACTCATACTTTTAAGAGAAAAGCAACATTATAGTATAGAACAGTAACATTTACAGAAATTAAGTGTTGTGTCTTGTCTCTCGTAACAAACTACATCATAAGTACGAGAGTTTCTATCTTCAAAAACATTATAATTTGGCAACAGGAAAAAGTTTGAAAGAAATCCAAAATACGAATTTTTCATGTTTTTCGTTGACACTTGTTCTTTGTGTCTTTGACCTCTTCTTTAGCTTTCCCAGTCTTTGGCAGCTTCTTCAGCGTCAAAATTGAAGAGTTTTTTTGAAAAATTTTGTTATTATTACTGTTTTTATTTCCCGCAAACTTACCTATAGAGTATTCATAATTTCGTACACAACTGTACATTTTCTTATTTAAATATATAATTTTGAAGATTAAATCTCATGAAAAAGAAAAATGTTCTATGTTTTAATTATAGAAATACACCGACAATTTTTTAACTTAGATGCAGAAAACTGTCACGAATATCGGACCAGCGGCATTTTTATTAGTAAACTTTCTTATACCAGAGAAAAACATAAAATAAAAAATGAGGCCATTTTTTGAGAAATTTTGAAAATATTGCTAAGGTGTCATATAAAATTATCCCCCTACCAAACTATAAGTTTTTAATTCAAAGAGCGTCTGTCAGACCGATCGGGGAATATCAATTTTGGTGAAAAAGGTGCTACGGTTTAGCCACTAACGTTGTTCACAGACGGCGGAAGTTTTGCGGTAAGCCAATATTTAGGTATCAACAAACCGTCGATTCTGACTACGATTTAAAGGAAGTAATTGACTAGTGTATCTCGGAACAAAAATGATCCTTTTTCTCTTTATCATGATCACACATTACGAGTTTTTTTCTGACGAAAAATGACAAATTCTCTCCTAGTATTACATTACTTCCTCTCCACTACATATGCAAGATAATACAAATAACCTTGTAGAGCAATAGATAGCCAGAGTCGAGTTTAGAATGTAAAAAAGTCATATTGATCGAAGTGTCTAATGTCTTTGTAATGAACAAAAATAATCAGTTGAGTTTTATCATTGATAAACCGCAATTCTAATGCTTTGCCTACAATTAGAAATTTGATCATGCGACACTAATACAGATACGAATTTCGGAACTTACCATGTCGAGAACGTCGGTGATGCGGCAGCCCTGCGTGGTGACTGCAGGCAGCACCCGAGCCACCGTGGTGCCCGCCTGCACCACCGCCAAGTCCCGGTCGAACATCAGATGGAAGGGGAACACTCGGCAGAATGTGGCCGGGCTCACCTTCGGTTCTGGAACAAAAGATTCGATGAGACGCTATCTTTCTGGTGCATTATTTCATTTTTTCTCGTTCAGCTGAAAAGTCATCCGAAGTCTTTTGAGGAACATTCAGATATATTTGTCACCTCTCAAAAATATAGCTACTCTATTAGAATAACAACAATATTACTATATTAAAGAAATTTGTAGAATTTTTTAAATAATGATCATTTTCTCTAAACTTTTTAATAAAAAATATCAATGTAAAATACTATTCAAAAGCAATAGTCTTTCAACTTATTTTTGCTTGTTGCTGTGAAATTAATCCTATCTACGAACCATAATTTTTAAAATCGAGATTCGTCGTCACGTTTCAAAATTTTGAGCTCCTGTAAAAACCACAATAATGTGTATTGATCATTCCATAAATGTGTGTCCCGAAAGGATAACAGTAACAAAAACGTAATAAGAGCTAATAAGTAAAATAAGAGCTAACAGAGTGGAGGTTGCTTTAGCAATTATGTGACTATGAAGGGTTTATGACCAAAATAGGATACTCAGACGGCTGAGGCCATAAACACAAATAATTGCATTTCATTACCAACAATTTGTGCCATGAAACCGCGCTTTCGAACGGAAAACCATATCACATTATTATCACAATAAACGAACAGCATCCAGTTTGTAAACGAGCAGTAATTCCACATATCGGCCCTTGAAGCGCTGTATTAGACATTTAGAGACGACTGCTACTCCCATGAGTAGCAGGGTACTACGACCGTCCTCTCCGCCTCCCGTCTTCTCCGCCTCCCGTCCTCTCCGCGCTCCCGTTCTCCGTCCCCTCTGGCCTCTCGGCCTCCGCGTCCTCTCGGCCTCCCGTTCTCCCGTCCTCCGCGGCCTCCGTTCTCCGTCCTCGCAGCCTCTCCGTTCTCACGTCCTCGCGGCGTCCCGTTCTCGCGTCCTCTCGGCCTCCCGTTTCTCGCGTCTCGCGGCCTCACCGTTCTCTCCGTCCTCGCGGGCCTCCCGTTCTCCGTCCTCGCGGCCCTCCCTTCTCCCGTTCCTCGCGGCCTCCCCTTCCTCCCGTCCTCGCGGCCGTCCCCTTCTCCGTCCTCGGCGGCTCCCCTTCTCCCGTCCTCGCGCGCTCCCCTTCCTCCGTCCTCGCGGCCTCCGTTCTCCGTCCTCGCGGCCCTCCGTTCTCACCGGCCTCGCGGCCTCTCCGTTCTCCACCGTCCTCGCGCGGCTCCCGTTCTCGACCCCGTCTCGCGGCCTCCCGTTTCTCCCGTCCTCGCGCCTCCCCGTTTCTCGGGCCGTCCTCGCGGCCCCCTCGAGGACCGTTCTCCGTCGCTCGCGGCCTCCCGTCTCGCCGCCTCTGCGGCCCTCCCGTTCTCCCGTCCCGCGGCCTCCCGTTCTCACTCTAGCCGTCCTCGCGGTCCTCCCGTCTCGGCCGTTCCTCGAAGGCCTCCCGTTCTCCGCGTCCTAGGGCCTCCCGTTCTCACCGTCCTCCGCGGCCTCCCGTTCTCGCGTCCTCGCGGCCTCCCCGTTCTCGCCGTCCTCGCGGCCTCGCCGTTCTGCATGTCCTGCGGTCCGTTCTCCTCGTCCTCTCGCGGCCTCCCGCCTTCCAGGCCTTCCGTCCTCTCCGCCTGCCCCGTTCTCCCTCACCTCGACTGCTCGGCCTCCCGTCCTCGCGGCCTCGCCGTTCGCCCGTCCTCGCTGGCGCCGTCCTCCGTCTCCGCTCCCGTGTCTCCCGCTGGCCTTCCCGTTCTCCCGTCCTTCTCGGCCTCCCGTTCTCCCGTCCTCGCGGCCTCCCGTTCCTCTCCTCCGGTGCCGTTCTCCGGGCTCCCGCCTCTTCTCCCGTCTCGCGCTCCTCGCTTCGCGCCTCCTGTCTCGCGCTCCTTCCCGTGCGGCCCTCCCCAGCCTCCCGTTTCTCCCTCCTCGCGGCCTCCCGTTCTCCCGTCCTCGCGGCCTCCCGTCTCCCGTCCTCGCGGCCTCCCGTTCTCCGTCCTCGCGGCCTCCGTTCTCCGTCCTCGCGCCTCCGTCTCTCCGTCCTCGGCGGCCTCTCGTTCCGGCGTCCTGCGGTCACCGTTCTCTCCGTCCTCCCGGCCTCCCGTTCTCCTCCGTCCTCCGGCCTCCCGTTCCTCCCCGTCCTCCGCCTCCCGTTCTCTTATCCCCCTCTCTGGCTGGCAAGACAGCTCAGGGAGAGGGGGGCCAGAGTGCGATACGTCGAGCTGCATCTCGGCAGCTGGGCGGTGCTGTGGCGAGATGGTCCCTCAAGGGTTATATCGTCTGTTATCTTTCCCCGCCTCCGCGCGCTCCTCCGTGCGCCATTTTCTGGACGAAGTGCCTCCGCCTCCTGCTTGCTTCGTCACCACCGTCTCTCCCACCCTCACAGGCCCCATCTCGCAATCGCTACTTCGTCTTTCTTCAGCCCCATTACAACTGACAACGCAGTACAGTGGGCCGAATTTCTTTCAAGATGAAAGTAATGCTTTTGTCCTATTTCTATACTAATATTTGAAATAAAAAAATATAAAAAATAATTTACTAAATATGACTGTAATCGACAATTAAGTTATTTAATAACTTTAATTTCTTTGGTTATTTATTATTACGTGATAAATTGTATGGCTGAAGATAACACATTATTTGAATTTATGCAAAGGTGAGTCTCTGGGTCGGGTCTCATAATCGGGAATTAAATAGTACATTTTATAGGTTTTTAGCAACGTTGTGCACACGATGGTGAATAATATCACTATTTTTTCTTAATATTTATAAGAGACCGAACGAGTGAACAATTACATTTTATTTTCCAAGATAGAAAAGGGAATTGGCAGTATTTTTTACAAAATTACATGTGAACAGTAAATTTTGCGAGTTTTGAACGTTGGGGAAAACATCCTTGAGGTCGCAATAAAACTAAGATTTGTTTAAAGACATAAACGCATATTATTATTTTAAAACAAAATATAGTTATTATAAAAAATAGTTTAAAATGTGCTTAGCAAGAAACTTCACTTTTCAGTGAAACCACGTAAAACAATTTCCGAGGATATCTCGCACAAACAGACAGAAAATGTATCGGAAAAATAATTGATATGGTTTTTTTATATCTGTAAATAATGTGGGATAATAAATAGGTGATTATTCTAAAATCATAAACAGCCACTTCAAATATATGTTTTTAGAAGTTGAAGCCGTTCCCAGACGTAGAGAATCAGCGAAATAACTTCCAAATCTCGAACACACTGGTAGAAGCGCGGAAAAGGTGGTGGAGTTTCAAAAGGCTAAAAATGCTCAATGTGTAAGGATACATATACGAACATGCCTACTCTGAAGACTCATTAGTGTGGGTTGCAAATTTGTTACTGTCGCATAGTATACGCAATAGAACAGGTAGCAATGGTAACATGTAAAACCAGCGCAAGTGAAGTTTAAGGAACACGATCTATTACTCTTTTGGCATGTGAAAGAACTCCTGTTTGATGTTCTGCGGATGCAGTATTTGCTCTGTCATAGAACGATGCAACGAACGGATATTTTACCGAAATAGTAGTTGTTTCATTACCTGACGGGAAATATATAAGAAAGTTATTGGTCACATTTCGAGCTCCTATGGTAACACATTCTAATATTCCCAACAATAAACACGTGTCGTGGCTGGTCTAATGACCAGCCCCCGAGTATTAAATAACATGACGTCGGTGTTCAAGAGAAAATTCTAAGTAAGTTGAAGTCGACTGGTTAAATTTGTCTACTCAATATGTTTTGTGGATCATGTAATATTTTTCACGCACTTTCAATGGAATACTCTTTTTAAGACACAGAAATTTTGTTCAAAAATCGATTTCTCTATAACATTCCACTGTTTTGTGACTTAGTCAAAAAAGGAAATAAAGGATTTTTTTGCACAATACTAGTTTCTTGATTGATAATAAAATCTGTTATTTTCATTATGTTATGTTTTAAAACAATCAGTGGAATTAATTAATACGTAGCCAGTCAATTGTATTTCATATAATTTTATTTACTCAAATAATATGTTTTATATTGCAAATTTAACGTGTCACGAACTAAACGTTAGCGTCTTAAGAATCATAGATCCTGTGAATGTCAAAATTATTTTACAAATAACAATAAAATCAATTTATGATAAAATTGTTACGCATACACGCAATACATGCAAATACAAAATACAATTGTGGAAAGAGTTTTTAATTGTGGAGAGAGTTGTTTACCTAATCATGTTTAAAGATATATGATTTTTTTATTTTATTTAAAATATGATCATATGCAGAGGTAAAAATATTACATTTTTGATTCGAATATGTGTTCTTAATTTTGATAAATATGGTTTCAGAAATTAAACGGGCGTGCATTCGTGGCTCTTTGTCTAAAGAAGACGGATTGTCAAAATCAAATTTATGTAAAAGCTGAATTCTGTGTTTTGGAATCGTATTCAACTTTTCATTAATTTTTCTGATGATATATTTATGTTCGTGTATTCTTGTATTATCCTGCGTCTTGCTTGGCCAATGTATGATTCGTCACAATCTTGGAAACGGATACGGTGAGCAATAATGTCTACTTCTATTTTAGAGACTAGCTGCTATGGTCGGTAGTCCTTAGAGGTTTCTCCCATCGACATCAGACGAATGCCGAAGAAGCACCCAAACAAAGGGGCCGCGGACCGCGTGCGATCTTTCCTTCCTCTTCCTTGTCCTATCCTCACCACTTACATACACTTACACTAAACACATGCACTAAACTACCACACATGTCGGGAGACCGGCCTGAAGATTAGAGCTTGTCCCAGCTGGGTCGGTGCCCCACTGGTAGGAGATACCTGGTTGGGGGAAAACCCACTAGCCGACGCTCGCCATCCAGCGGGACAAGATCAGCACTACCTCCCGAGGAAAAATGTACACTATACTTACGGTACTAATTATCTCATTAGTTGACCGCTGACAATCAACCAACTTAACTCTCTTATTGCGCACTGTCACTACTGTCACACTGGGTCTGAAACGTGAAA